TCCAAGTCTCTGCAGGGGGACCCAGGCATCTGCATCTAGTAGAGCTTCCTGAGCGGTTCCATAGTGCAGGGAGGATGAAGAGCTCACTAGTTCCCGACAGCTGAGCCCGGGTGCCCTAGGATGGGGGCAGAACTTCCCGGGGCACCAACTCAAGGTCCAGGAAGAGGGTTCTGTCAGGAAGGACAGCGTCAGAGCCCTCAGCTCACGTGACCCTTGGAGTTCCCATCTCATCTCACCTGGAGCCTAGTCTCTACAGCCCAGTTAGGAAGCTCCTGTGGAAAGGGTAGGTCTCCCCTTCCTGCATCCCCAGCCTAGAGGGCCCAGGGACAGGGTCTGTGTCTCAAGTATGGCTGGACCCTCCACTCCCAGCAGAGTGGCCGACTTGGGCAGCATCCAGAAAGGTTTCCAAAGAACACTGAATGCAGGAGAGAAGGGGCCAGGAAGGGTGCAGGCACCTCCCCAAGCCTGGCCACGGGGAGGGGTGGGGGACACGCTATTCTCTAGAGAACCAGGGGGGCTGGGGCCATGCTCCATGCGGGAGGCTTCGTCCCGGGGCCCTCCCCAGGGAAAGCACACGCCTCGGAGTCCTTGGAGAAAGCCCACTTGCAACCACAAATCTGACTTCTCCTCAAACCCCCAGGAAGCCGTGTCCTTGGGGTGGGCAGGGGATGGGGGAGGCAGGCACACAATTCCTCCTGTCCAAGCTGTGCTCCATCCCCTCCTCCTCCCACAACAGAATGAAAGGGTCCCTTGTGGGCCCAGCCCTGAGCTCTGGGCTGGGACCCAAGGCCCTCAGGGCAGTGCCTCCGGCCCCCCACCCCCATCAGCCGCCCTGAGGCTGGCACAGCTGCCATTGCTCAACAGTCCCCCACCGTCACCTCTCAGCGCCCTTCCAGCAGCCTCCCAGGAGCCACAGTCCTCTCCCAGAGTTCGAGATATGGAGGCCAAGGACGGGCTTTGCTAAGCTGTGACTCCCACCCCAACCTGAGTCTTGACCTTGAAATCTGACCAAGCTGTGGTCCCGGCCGCTTAGAGAGATGTGAGCCCACCCAGCTGAGGCTTCACCAAGGCTCCGGGTTAACTTGAGTTCCTCGGCCACAATGCAAGGGCACAAAGGGCCATGAGCAGCCACACACACTGCTAGGGACCTGGCTCAAGGTTTCCACCTGACAGACAGGCTGGGGTCTCCCCAGAGTCAGGGAGCAGCAGCCCATTGGCTCTGGATCCACAGCAGGCCTTCTGGGGCTCCTGTCCTCATGAGAGGCTGAAGGCCCCGAGGCTCAGACACTCAGCCTCTGCTTGGGTGCCTTGCCACATAGGAATCCTCAGCCTTAAGGCTCCTCCACTGGGGCTCCGGCAAGGAGGTCCCAGGACAGGAGAGAAACAGTGTTAGGAACTGAAGTTGAGAAGGTGGGTCCACGTGCTGCTTCTCATGGCTCTGCGCAGTCAGCCAGTCAGCAGGGCCCCTTGGGGAGCGTGCCTACAGCCCCCATCCCAGTCTCGCCCACCTCGGCCTTGCGCATCTTGGCGGCCAGCTGCAGCGGCGTCAGGCCATCATTGTTCCGCATGGTCTCCAGCTCCCAGTTGCCACTCCTCCGCAGGATCATGTCATACGTGCGCTTGACGAAGTCATTCTGCGTCTTGAAGTCCTCGGCCACCCTCACCAGCGCGTGGAGGATGTTGTTTCCCCGTGGGTCCTGGGAGGTGATGTCCGTCTGCTCGTTCTCCATCAGCAGCTGCACGATCTCGGGCTGGTTGGTGCAGGCTGCCAGGGCCAGGGGTGTCTCACCTAGGGGAGGCGGAGCGCGGGGACTCGGTTCTCTCGCGGACCAGAGCGGTGATCCCCAAGTCCTAGGACTGAGGCTTCTCCGGACCATTTCCGCAGGGATGGGAGACTGGGGCTGGATCGTTGCAATAAACTCCTAGCTGGTCTCCCTGCTACCACCCAGGCCCTCCAACATGATTCTCAGCACAACAGCCAGACTGATCCTGCTAACAAATAAGGCTCACCTTACCCAGAATAAAAGATCAGATTCCAATAACAGCAAACAAGGCCCAACATCTGACATCATCTACTCCTCTCCCCATCACTCACTCCCTCCAGCCACAATGGCCTCTTCCTTTTCCTCAAGCACACACAAGCATTTTCCTACCTCAGGGCCTTTGCACAGTCTGTTCCCACCGCAAGAAGTGCTGTTTCTTAGATACCAGAATCGTTTACTCTCTCACCACCTTCAAGTCTTTGCTCAAATGTCACCTTTTCAATGAATCACCCTAACTGTTCTATTTAAAATTGAAACCCACCTCCTTCCTGCCCCAGAACTCCTGATTCCCCTTTCCTACTTGACCTTCTATTTTCCGAATAGCACTTATTGTTTTCTAGCATATTACAGAACATTCTTCTTTATTATGTTTATTGATGGTCTCTCTCCCATCTAGAATGTAAGTTCCACAAGAGCAAAGATCTTGGTTTTGTTCAGAGATGTATTTCTACTACCTAGAACAAGACGTGGTGTATATAGTAAACAATGAAGGTTTGTTAAGAAAAGAGAAGACAAGTGACTCCCACAGGGTCACACACGGTAAGCTGAGGACGGAACCAGGCCTGGACCGCAGGCCTTCTGCTGCCGCTCCCCAGTCTCCCCCGGTACCCTCTCTTCATCCCACCTGACAAATGTTCCCAACACAGGCTCAACAGGTCTGACGCCAGGCAATGGACTGGACAAGACCCTGTCCTCCAGGCCACTCAGACCCATCTAGACCTGCTGACTAAAAACCACCCAGAAAACAGGTCAGTGGTCATCCGTCAGGGGCTGGGCTGGGAAGAGGAGCTGACTACAAAGTTGTACCAGGATATTTTGGGGTGTGATAAAGCTGTTCCCTGTCCTGACCACAGTGGTGGTTACATGACTGTATGCATTTGTGGAAATGAACAGAACTGTCCATTAAAGTGGGTGAACTTCACTATATCTAAATCACACATTAAAAACATTTTTTTCACCCAAAACGGCCTAACTCCCATTGTTTTTGGACTCCCTAAGGTGTCAGCCAGGGAATTCTCGTCCTCTCACTTTTGACTGTTCGCAGTTCTGAGAGGCACTGGACACGGAAGAGAAGCCCGAGCTGGCCACCCGG